CCGTTCGAGAGGCTGGAGGTCAAGAAAGAGACGCTGCTAGAAATGTTCAAGGTCATTAATGCTGCACATAAACTCACTATAGGGGGGGAAATGAGGTTTATTGTTATTCAGCATAGCAGATGTAGTGTATTGACCCGTTTCCACTGACAGGTACAGTACGGTACGGTAGGGGTCGGTAGGGGTCACCTTTATCAGGCTTGCGTTTCCACTGCTAAAAGGGTACCAATGGTATGCCTGGTGTACATTGTGTACGACAGAAACTTTCAGTAAACATCATTCTCGCTGGAGGAAATGTCACAGTAAAACTGTGTAAAGCTTTCACACCACAGGAGCACCATTCGGCAGTGTAGACACAAGCCTGATAAAGGTGAGCCGTACCGAACCATATCATAGCACTCCATGTGTGAAGCGAGTTGTTGAAGGTGGTGTTGTGTTTTGAAGGCTAGAGGTTTTAAAGGAGCAGCTTTTCTTCTTTCAGTACAACAAGTTCAAGTGTCGAATCCTGAATGAGAAAGTGACGACCGACACCACCACTGTGTACAGGTGTGTATATGTGTGTGTGTGTGTGTGTGTGTGTGTGTTCACATCAGTTTTTTCTGCAGTGTGTGCTCTTCATCAGTGTGTGTGTTTCTGCAGGTGTGGTCCTCTGATAGATCTGTGTCGTGGTCCTCATGTCAGACACACTGGAAAAATCAAGGCCTTCAAGATCTACAAGGTGAAAAATGATGAGACAAACATGATGACACACACACCACATCAAAGACCAACTATAATAATATTTTTATATTTGAATAATTTTTGTTTTCATTTTTTATATTTCAATAAATATTTTTATCATTTCGAATTGTAAGGTAGCGGTCTCATTTTGATAGAAAAATGTGTAAATAGAATAATATTAGCAATAACGATTTCAATAATGTTGTGAACAATATGTTAATACATCTAAAAAAACTGGAAGTTTCTAAGAACATTTAAAAAAATGATTTAGTATAACTTAAAAGACAGCTATTATGCAGAAATCACCTTTATAAGAGTTTTAAATCCAGTTTTGTGTCAGCAGTGTGTGAATATCTCCAGCCTCCAGCAGGCCTGAGTGAGAAGCAGCCGTCTGTCCATCAGCCGTTAGAGTGTTTGAGCTGCTGAAGATGTTAGCCCCTTTCACACATACAGACCTTTCCGGAAAATTGCCGGCAATTTTCTGGAAAGGTGTGTATGTGTGAACAGGTCCTTTTTGATAATACCAGTAAATTCGTTCTGGCTATTTTCCGGAAAGAGAAGTCGTAACATTACCGGTTATTTGCCGGAATGCTGCACTGTGTGAATGCAGAAGGAAGATTGCCGTAATAAGCGCGTGCACGTCTAGAACGTGCTGACGTGAGACGTCTGCTTTAGCCAATCACAACAGTCAGACGCATTCACGTCCGCGCGGTTTGTGAGAATAAAAGCCTTTGAATATTTTTCCAGACACATTTAGCTGCTAGAAGTTAGTCAGATCACGTTTATATGTTCTTCTCAATGCAAACTGTGTAAATAATCATCGATGAGATGCTTATGATAAGCCGTTGTTTGTTTACCTTCAAGCTTTGCGTGCGCCTGTGAAACAGCCTGTGAGCGCCTGCACACGCACATATTATGAACATCTCGACATGCGAAAGTGATCCTGCGAAAGTTGTTCACAATATTGATCATCCACAGAGTTTGTAATGTAGTCAAATGTTTACAAACACAAGCGCAGCCGTTTAAAGCTCATTTGTGGTGAATGATGTCAGAATTTACCTGTATTTTGGAATGGATGTGTGAATGCTCTTTTCCGGAAAATTTCCGTAACGTCCTCGCCTGTGTGAACAGCGCTTTTTTGAATATACCGGTAAAGTCGTTCCGGAAATTTTCCAGATATTTACTGGTATCACTGTCTGAAAGGGGCTAATGTCAGCATAGACTAAGCCAGGCGTGTCCAAACTACGGCCCGCGGGCCATCTGCGGCCCGCAATCAGTTTTGTGGCGGCCCGCGAGGCTTTTTATAAATATCAATAGAATCTGGCCCGCTATACAAATATGAACGTAATTCAATAAATAACCACCGGGTATCGCTATTACATGCATTCAATTTAGCAGCAGTTCTTGTTATGATCTATCTATCTATCTATCTGTCTGTCTGTCTGTCTGTCTGTCTATCTATCTATCTATCTACACACAGTTGAAATCTGAATTATTAGCCCCTCTTTGATTTATTTCTTTTTTTTTAAATATTTCCCAAATGATGTTTAACAGAGCAAGAACATTTTTACAGTATGTCTGATAATATTTTTTTCTTTTGGACAAAGACTTTTGTTTTATTTTGGCTAGAATAAAAAGCAGTTTAAATTTTTTTATGAACCATTTTAAGGTCAAAATTATTAGCCCCTTAAGTCTTCAGAACAAACCATTGTTATAAAATAACTTGCCTAATTACCTTAACTTGACTAGTTAACTTGATTAACCTAGTTAAGCCTTTAAATGTCACTTTAAGCTGTATAGAAGTGTCTTAAAAATATCTAGTCAAATATTATTTACTGTCATCATGGCAAAGATAAAATAAATCAGTTATTAGAAATGAGTTACTAAAACTAATATGTTTAGAAATGTGTGGAAAAAAAATCTTCTCTCCGTTAAACAGAAATTGGGGAAAAAATAAACAGGGCCTAATAATTTAGGGGGGCTAACAATTCTGACTTCAACTATATATATATATATATGTGCGTGTCTGTGTGATGTATGTAAAATTTGGCCCGCGACGTTTGTTTTTTTGCATCTGGCCCTCGGCCCAAAAAGTTTGGACACCCCTGGACTAAGAGGATTATAGACCTTTTTCATGGCTGCTGCATGGAGGGCGCCATAGCGACCAGCGTCTTCCGGTAGAATGCTAAAATCTTCAGTTCACAGCGTGTACAACTGGTAATTTGCTCTCCGAAAATGGGTTTCAATAACGTTTTTAATGGATAACAGAGTGTTTTTGTGACACACAACTTAGAAATGTGTCTGTTAAAGCCGTTATAATCTGTCACATGTGGTTCAAGCGCGTCAGAAATACGAGAAAAACGTTCTCCTAGTTCACGTGTCTGCCGTCAGAAATACAGCGTGTGTGTGTGATCCCGGCCTGTCAGCTGTTAGCTCAGCGGCTCTTTAACACACACACACACACACACACACACACAGAGAGAGAGAGAGAGAGAGAGTAAACCAGAGTACTGGCATGAAACTTAACAGGTATGAAAGTCGGGCAATTTACAAAAATGAGCAATAAAAGTCTGTTATTGATCCTCTGCTGCTGATCTGCTGTTCATTCTAATCGCGAGCCGTTTGTGTTTTATTTCGTGTGTTGTTTTCATCACGGTTTGTGTTTTTCTGTCATTTGGAAATGACACTCGCCTGTATTTTCACTTTGTCACAGTTATTAAATCAGTGTGTCAGTGGCGCAGTACAGGCTACGTGTGTGTGTCAAACATGTTGGTGAACTACATGTGTTTGGGCTGGTTATATATTATAAATAAAGAGAAAATGTTGACTTTAGCGATGACGAGGCTTCATTTAAACTGCAGAAGATGCCATCTGACACCGAGGGGAAAACGCCTCACAGCAGCTGTTTTCCATCCTATTAGATCACATTTCTGTAAATGATCAGTCCAGGAGATGCTGCTGATGGACAACAGTGTTAGATAAAGAGGATAAAAGCAGGTCAAATAGATTAAAACTATCGTTTCAAAGCTGTCCAAATGTGACTGTTTACACGCATCAGCTGCCGACCGGAAGATCTTCGCATTCTCCTTGTGCATACATGCAAAGCATCATGGGTAATTTAAAGGTTTATAGATGTGGAGTTCTAGATGAACAGCGACAGGAGCGACATAAACTGACAGAAGCATCAACACACACACACACTGAAGCACACCTGACCAGCACACACTCACTGCTGATTCACATCTGTCACTATGCTGTCTGTAGCTCCGCCCTCTTCTAAAAAAGAGCTCAATCTCATTTGCATTTAAAGCGACACCAAAACAGCACAATTAGGGTCAAAGCCTGAAAGGGTCAGTTTGCTGGAGAACATCATCTGTGTGCTGTTTTCAGCTCAAACACACACACACACACACACACACATGAGAGAGACAGCAGAGACGCATTTGCAGATTGTAACTAGAGGCAGAATCGGTCCTCTTCAAAAGCAATGTAATTGAGCTGTCTGTTGTGTGTTTCCAGAACTCCTCCACATATTGGGAGGGCCGCTCAGACATGGAGACCCTCCAGCGCATCTACGGTATTTCATTTCCCGACAGCAAAATGCTGAAGGAATGGGAGCGATTTCAGGAGGAGGCCAAAAACAGAGACCATCGCAAGATCGGGAAGGTGACGTACGGTTCTGTCATTCACCACACTGCTTTTCTTACTGGCGCAGTGGGTAGCGATGTTGCCTCACAGTAAGAAGGTGGCTGGTTCGAGTCCCGGCTGGGTCAGTTGGTGTTTCTGTGTGGAGTTTGCATGTTCTCCCTGTGTTGGCGTGGGCAGCTGTAGTTCGATAGTGGTGTGTGTGTAGTTTTCCCTGCGATCCGCACTCACTGAACCGCTGGTGCTTGTAACAGCGGTAAATAAAATAATGATATTCATTTATTTTCCTTCCCATTAGTCTATAATTTATCACAGGTCAACACAGCAGAATGAACCACCAACTATTCCAGAATATGTCTTACACAGCGGATGCCCTTCCAGCTGCAACCCAGAACTGGGAAACACACTCATTCACACACACACACTCAGACACTACGGCCAGTGTAGTTGATCAGTTCCCCTATAGCGCATGTGTTTGGACTGTGGGGGAAACCGGAGCACCCGGAGGAAACCCACACCAACACGAGGAGAACATGCAAACTCCACACAGAAACACCAACTGACCCAGCCGAGACTCGAACCAGTGACCTTCTTGCTGTGGGGTGATTGTGCCACCCACTGCGCCACCGTGACGCCAGCTTAAACTAGTTTTCTTTCTCAGGAATTAAATAAATGCACATGTTTTTGTTTTCTGATGTGTGTAATTGTCACAGTGTGTGCATAAATACACAATGCAGTGTAACAGTTATAGTGTGTGTGTGTGTGTGTGTGTGTGTGTGTGTGTTTACTCCACAGGATCAGGAGCTGTTCTTCTTCCATGATCTGAGTCCTGGAAGCTGCTTCTTTCTGCCGCGCGGAGCTTTCATTTACAACACACTGATGGACTTCATCAGGGTAACACACAGGAAGAGTGTGTGTGTTTGTGTGTGTGTGTGTGTGGTGTGTGTGTGCTCAATGTGAATGTGTGTGTAAGAGAAAGAGAATGAGTGAGTGTGTGTTGCAAGTCTGTTTGTGGGCGAGTGAGTGTACTCACCATAGCAATGTTTTTGTTCACAGTGTGTGTGTGTGTGTGTGTGTGTGTGTGTGTGTGTGTGTGTGTGTGTGTGTGTGTGTGTGTGTGTGTGTGTGTGTGGTCTAGCACTGTGTATGTATGCATGTGTGTGTGTTTACTCAATGTTTGTTTGCGTGTGTAGGTGAATTAGTTTGTGTGTGTGTGTGTGTGTTTCTGTTTGTGTGTGTGTGTGTGTTTCTGTTTGTGTGTATGTGTGGGTGTTTCCTTTTGTGTCTCGTGAGTATGTGGGTGTTCACTGTGTTTTAACTCTTATGTGTGTGTTT